GGGGGGGGGGGGGGGGGGGACGTCGTTTATTATCATGGGGAAGCGATTAGGTCTATTCTGAAGCAGATTCGAATCATTTGCTTCACTTAGTTGACAAAGTTGTGCATGACGTTGAAGTTAATGTCTTCATGCTTTGGCTTCTTCATTGAATGTTTACGGCGTCAACTTTTTGCATGGAGACTTCTGTCTGCTCATGCAATGCAAAATCTGCATCAGCAACAAAGTGGGAGCGTCTGACGAGCCGAAGGAGGCCTAAGAAACGGCTTGTGCAAACATAGGTGCCTTGCAGCTGAGGCAGTGGTGTTGCGACAACTTTGAGAGCCCTGGCCGGATTTGTCTACCTTTTCAAGCTATTCTTCAGCCTCCGCGCTGGTTGCAAACTCTGGTAGCGGCAGTTAGGTAGAGGACCATCAAATCCCATCCTGAAAAACCTCGGTGCTGGAAGATCGGCTCATGCTTTTAGTCTTGCACGCAAGACAGGCTTCCGCCCGTCCGTTGTTGTTTCGCCTAACCAAGGATGGGCTGCGAGAACACCCAAGGTGAAACTCCAGGATATTTCAATTGCGCCTTGGCCTTCTGTCACCGAAGATAATCTCTTGTGTTTTGACATGTTTTGACATAGCTGGTCCCTCTTGGGACCATCACGTCGTAAGGTTCAATCTCGGCAAAGCCAGAGCCATAGAGTGGAATAGTATTTCCTCAATTGCAGAAGGTGCGGTTTGGAAACCGGATTCCGCACTTTAAAGCACATCCAACGGTTCCGGATCTCGGAATCAGATTATCGGAATGAGGTCCTGACCCGTACAAGGTGCTTCTGCCTACTCTCCTTTCTGAGAATAATCCATACGCAGGAAACCTGTGCGCGTGCGCGGCATCAGGGTGTTTCTCCAAATCAGGGTCACTCCATATACCCCTTGAATGACATTACTCTTGCTACGCAGATTTTGAAAAAGAGACCCATCATTCTGAGTAACTCCCGTGTGTCAGGTGCGGACACGCTATTCGACACCTGGTCAACACAGAAGCGGCGGCATTGTTGCCCTTGGGCAAAATGTCCAGCTAGTGAACTGTTATTTTATTTTAGGACCGAGCACTTCCTACAAAAACTGACAGGATCTGCAGAGAGCATTTGCCTTTTTCCAGGCGGTTGGTGTCACAAGAAGGGTTATGAGCAACCTGTACTTGTCTCTATCGTGCCCAAGTACCCACTCGCTGAGCTGAACTGTACAAAGCTACATCTGCAGCCAGTCTGGCAAGAACTTCTGCCGCCCCTGCTAGTCCTATGCCTCAATATCTTCATGCAAGTCTCCAGGACAATGTCCTCATGCAAGCGGTTCGAGATAAGACTCCTGGGTTCTCAAGTTTGTGGAAATCTCAGGCACCTCCATGGGCATCGGCTGCGTTGCTGCCAACGGTCTTTCACCTGCACTGCACGGCTTCAACTTGATCACTGCACAGCAAAGCACAAAAAATCATGCAGGGGTCTCTCAAAGTCACCGTTTTCAGGGGATGGTTAATATTTTTTGTAGTTGGAAGGTTCTCTATTTCTTGTTGGAGTGCTGTTGAGACCCAGCCATGTATTTCAAAGGGCACTTGTGGTTGAGGCAGCAGCAACACTGTGGACATTTGTGGTGCGCACTGTCGTACACTGTTAGCTGAAGTCCAAGAGACGACTTCACAGCGTGCAGAACTGGCCAGATATTTCTGACATTTGACAGGGACCAGATGAATCGTGATTTCGCAAAGATCACCAGCGCAGTAGCATCATGTGTAATTTGGTTGGCCACATCGCCAGGAGTGCATGATTTTGATGATGCTTTCGCAGTTCTGAGAATAGCAGATTCAGCAACTGACAATCGCGAATAGTCCAAGCCCAGTGCTCTCCCAACTGCAGGCATGCTTTTCGACTGCAAGGCACAGCGTGCAGCAGTTCAAGTAAGTTGCCTAGGAACCTAAAGTATGCACCTCTTCTCTTTTGCCTACCTCCACGACTGTTCGTGCCACTAGGAGATGTGCAAGCGCAGTGATGCTGGTGTTTCTCCGCTTGTGTAGCATGTAGGTCAAGGACGGCTTGGTTGACTAGACTTCTTGCATATGGCTTTGCAATTGAAGGACACTTTGCTCACAATAGTCGATTTCGGAAGTGTTGGAGGCGTTTGCCTAATGATGGCTGGGATGAAGAGAGGCAGGTGAGGTAGACGCTGTCATCATGCTAAAACTAAGTGTCAAGGTAATCAAATGCTTGACGTTCCAGACACTACAGAGTACTTCCCTGACTTCCCCTTCCTCGCACCGCAACCTGCCCTGTGCCTGCCCCGATTTCCAAGCGCAACGCATCAAGCGTTTGCCGCAGGCTGGTGTATCCAACTGGCAAGTTGGCATCAGGGCTGCAAGATGGATATGGCTGACGGTCTGGGCTTTCAGCTTAGGTGTTTTGCAACAGTGCAATTGTTCGAAGAAAGGGTCCACTTGAATGACACCTTCTGTCCTGCTCTACTGTGACGCCAAAAAGGGGAGGTGATCAACAATCGTTGGCTTAAAGCAGCCCTGATGCAGTGGTAGGTCGATGACTGCGAACAGGCTGGTTTGAGCTCTGAGAAGTGGAGTCGGCAGAGTGCATGTGCTGGGTTGGTGTGGTGAGAAGCTTGCGGTGAACGCGACGCAGCTACATGCAGCTACCAGCTGCGCTGCGCATAGCGTCAAGAGCATCCAAGCTCAAGCATGTGTGGGTAGCAAAGCCTGGTGCCAGAGGCTGGTCGAAAGACAAAAAAGCTTGGTGCTGCCTCCACGAGCACGTAGCTTGCCCGACAACGGCTCCGTTCGATTGTGATGCGCAGTACGACCACTGGCAGGCTCCACAGGGAGTGTCTGGAAGCTGACAGCACAGGTGTTACAGGTGGTCCAGCCCTGCAATTTGGATACCAAGTGTAACATGGATAAGATCTACCGTTCCCATGCGTCTCCAGCACGAATGTCTTTCAGCTTCCTGGCCTCAGTCCTGAACTGCCCTCATCTGCGGTTGCGAATGATTCTTCCGACAAGATCCAGTCGTAGACTGGAAGTTAGACGCTTCATGTTTATGATCAGGCCTATGGCAGTGCAATCAACCTTTTGTGACACCGCTTCCAGCCTTGGGAGCTGGCAGAATCTTGACACCTAACTATTCATAGGAGCACCCAAAGGTATCCTGGAAACCAAACGCCGAGTGCGAGCACGAATGCAATTAAAGATGTGTGCTGACCTTGACGAAGCGAGCCCAGCTTTGGTACCCGTGGCCTCGTGTTGCACATATCTTGAAGGTTCATAGAGGCTTAGCGAATATCCACCATTTTGCAGCTTCTTTCTATGGGGCAGCTAAGCAGACATGCCATTCCTTGGAGACTCTAAAGCTCATGTCGTGTCTGTAAGAAGCCTGCCGCAGACGTCCTGGTCCATCCTGAAGCAGGGATACTGCCGTGGCCTCGGGAAATCCACAAAAATTAGCACAAAGGATTTTCAAAGGATGCGGCATACGTCTCTTTCGGGGGACGCTGGTAATCCCTTTGTTAGTCCTGCAAATGAAATTGGGTCTTGGTTAGTTATCTCAGAGCAAACATGTAGGCAGAGGCTTCTGGATTCCGCATGCTTATGCAAGTGGGATGGTGTTGAACGAATCTTCCCTTGTCACGGCACAATCCTTAATCCTTAATTCAATCAGCCACAATAGCAAAAGCCTGCACACCACGCCTGAGTTGACTTGCAAAACCCCACCCCGCATCTCGGTGGGTCTGGAAATCTTTGAAGGCTCCTTCCTGCAAAGGATCCCACGGCTCTATGGGCAAGAATCACCTTGCTTGGATGAATACCAATCTGGCGGCTACAGTATCAAACCAACGTGCCTTAGGAAATCCGGCAATTTTCTGAATACTGCAAGTGGTTTTACTTTGAGCGCCCGCCAGCCTTCTGTTCAAAATGCCTTGCATATTGCAGCTTTTGGGACACTCCTGAAGGAAGACACCCTTTGGTTGGTAGGGCGCGCAAGGTCGTCAGTGTGACATTCCGGGCTTAGGCTCTTGACGGCTCCAAGGTTCGGGAACTCCAGGGACACTGTATAATAGGGCACTGCAGGTACGCGCTAGATTGAGCACTTAAGGAATCTGATTGGGCACCCAGGCGGACGGGCGATCGGGCGAGCCGAACATGTTTTCTTAAGATCTAACAGCCGCGCGGCAACGGTGGGGAACAAGACGGACACAAGCGCATGATGCCGGGCAAGCAACCTGGAACCAACAGCCCCAAACTGCAGAGCTTGGGAACTTTCAGGCTGCAAAGAGGCGAAGCGAGGATGTACCACCACGCTCGTGACCACATCGCAGCCGTTCGACTGTGCCTTCTTTGCACTACAGCCAGCGTGGAGATTACAGAGAATGTCTTACTGGGCCCAAAGTCGGGCAGTTATCAAAGCTGCAGATAGAGTCAGGGTTTGTTTGAAATCGTGTTGAATGCTAAGGGCATGTCAGGCTCTATGATGCGGTTCCACGTATTGCAGGACTGCAGATTCCGTTGGGCAAGATGCACAATTTGTGCACTTGCGGCAGCCGTGCTGAAACGGCCCGTGCCATCCGGGAACCAGAAGGTTCTTCATGTTACTTCGCTAGCAGAAGTAAAGCCCGAGAAAACGGCTGCAAAATTGCCAGGACTCGCACCGCTAGAAGTCATTGCGCCGCCATAATCTTTGAGTTCACTCCGACCCGCTTCTACTTCGCTGTAAGCGAGCTGCAAACTGAGTGTAGTGAGTAGGTAGTGACTGTTGCTGTGGAGATTCGCTGACTGGTCGCAGTCAGCCGAGAGGGGAGCCTCTCAGCAAATGTGCTTCCCCCAGACAGGACCATACTTTGAGGAGCCATGCTGAGAGGACATGAGGGTGCCCCAATGTGCATCCAAGCCAGCAGCAGCCTCAAACATGTGTGCATAAATGGTAGAAAGTCCGCCTCCTCGGATTGCATAGAACAGTCCTTGACAGATTCCGCGAACCCATCAACCATTTCTCGAAGTGGTCTCAAATGACCGTTGTTTCGTTTTCCGCTGACGAAGGTGATGCTGGCTTTGCAAACTGGATCCGCGGATGGTCACAGTTAAAGAAGGCTTCCGCTTGTCACACCTGATCGCATCAGAGCAGTTTGGCAAATCAGAGGCAACTATCCACTTTGGCTATTGCAGACCCTCTGCAGTCTAAACCAATGTGGACTACTAGCATGACTCTTGTGATTCTCACGGTCACCGTGATCACAGGCCAGGCAAAGTTTGAGACGTTATCGCCTGCTCCACCAGCGACATGACTGAAACTCTGAAGCAGGAGTGGTGCTGCCGTCATGAACATCGCGCATGCCAAACTACGACGCAGCTTCCCTACGACGCATGGCTTGGCTCCAGCTTTGACATGTGACTTCAGGGCCTTGCCAACGCCGGGTGTGACTCCTCGATCTGTGGGTGTTCCTCTAGATTACATGTCGTCTCAGCAATGCTGTTGCCTTGGACAGCTTTTCTGTTGCAGGAATAATTATAGATTATAGACGTGATTTTCAGCCTCCCCAACAAGGACTGCGATGCTGGCTTTGACAACTGGAGGCTTGGCTGGTCGAAGCTGAAGCAGAAGTGGTGCTGAACCTTGGCCGAACAATACAAGGTACTTGGGGGCTTGGGGGCAGTGGTCAGAGATGCAGAGCATCGTGCCGCACAATGTTTGCAACCAGCTCGTTTCCTGGAAAGACATACGTACATGCAAAACTTCAGACAGGCCTAGTAAGGGATAGAGACATTTCGAGACCAGGCAAGCATGATCAGCGTGGCTGCGTGGAAACTACAACAGTGGCACCGTTGCCGTTCGATTGCTTCCACGATGCATCCTGGCTGTTCTGTGTTGCAGAGAAGAGGCGTTCTACTGCTGTAGCGTTGGTCTCAGGCCGTAGTTTGCTTTTGCTTGCTTTTTGTGGCCACTGCTGGGCTCTCAGCCCACTGACCAAGCTAGGCTGCTGCCCTCTTTGTACAAACTTGCCATCAATAGATCAGTGATGTTATGTTTTCGCTCAACCGCCGAGGTGCCTGCTGTTTGGCCACAGCAGAAGAGCGAGCTTCTGGCATGAAATGGCTTGATAGTGGGAAGCAAGCATGCCTTCCTCGATGCTTTGCAAGACCGCAACTGTTGCACCCAAATCCAGTTCAGAGGTTCTGCTGCACGCACTTTGACCGTGGCTGCGCAACAACCACGCTGGCTCCGTTCGTTGCTTGATGCAAGTATTCTGCGATTCGGTGGGTGTGGCGAGACATGATGTGGCATGCTCAGCCGAGGACTGCTACTCAGGCTTCTTCAACTGGAAAACCCTGTGGACGCATGAAAAGAATCCCAGCTGCAGCCGTTTGAGTATCAATTGAATGGTGAACGGACCAGCATCGCTTGAAGCTCGCTGGGGCTCTGTTTGCATGCTACTCTGGTGTATGTTTTCAGTTCCTTGCGGGCTACGGGAGGTTGCGGGTTGCTGCTGACATGGGGAAGGGTGATAAGAACGGTATGGTTGCAATGGGTGAACACTGGAAGAGGCGCCTCGTTGCATTTTCGTTCGAACGCAAGCCATCAAAAAGGTGACGAGAAGCTGACGTTGTAGCATACGTAGTTTCTATTCAAGTGATCATCGATTCCAGACAGCATCATTACCATCAGCCTATGCCCGTGGCCTGAGCGGGGAACTCTTGAATTCTAGAAAGATCTTCCACGAAGACCTGCACAACATCTCAGGCAGCAATGGTGCTGCGATCACGTCCAGCGCGGGCATGCTGGGCTACGTTTAGGGGCCAACTTAAAAATCTGCTTGCAGTGTTTGATACTTTGCGTGTGAAGCGCTTGGCTTCTTCACTTTACTTCGAGGGTCGGTAGAAGCAAGGTCCATCTGTTGTACCAGCACCAGCTAACACCACATCCACCTGTTCCTGGCACGTTTTTGGCAGTAAATGCATTTAAGCTCCCAGCATGCATGGTGTGCATCAGTACACGCAATCTCATGTAATCAGGTGTCACACCGGTATAATGAGCATACAATCTTGCACTCGGCTTATCTGGCGTTCGGGTAGGATGTATTGCCATTGGTTCTCAGAACATGGCAGGTGCGCGCCTGAGACAACGGTTGCCCCCTACGACTGCGATGCAGGCTTGGCTGATGGCACATGGGACCAGCATGATTCTTCAGCCCTGCATGTCCACTCCATCACCTCCTTGCTTGAGATGTTTGGGCAGAGGGGTCTATGATCAACGCTGCAATCTGCAGTAAAGTTTTGTGAAAGATGGGCAGTAGAGCCTGAGTTGAGCGTTGACAGGGCAAAAGCCGATATTTACAGGCTATCAGGAGTGATGGCGTCTTGTTTCTCACGTCATGAGGCATGCCCATGCCTTTCATCAGAGACCCACCTAAGCCTTGGGATGCCCAGATAACAGAGACATGCGGGCTTGCAGTTTAACCCGTACCTGGATCCTCAAACCAAGCGGTAGATTCCTAATGAGGTTCAAGCCTGCAGGAGCTATTGGCCAAAACCTACTAGAAATATTCGGCGCTAGTATCAAGCTCAAATGCAGTGGTTGCCAGTCTTCTGCATGAGTCCCCAGATGACTACAAAACCCCGTGCTGCCCGTTATAACTTGCGCAGGATACATTCGATGGGAAAAAGGCGGGCAATTGACAAGCTTGCTTCTTCAGGTTCACAGTTTGAGATCACACGCAAAAGGCCAAAGGCCGACCAAGTCCGTGCTGCTTGAGCCTTTGCATTTGGAATTGATGCAACACAGGCTCCTGTCATGGCTGTGATCATGACGTGCTGCTAACATATGACACGGGCTTGGGGAAGGAGTGCATGCAGTCTGATTCTAGCCTGCTGCTCTGGCTATTTGATGTAGGAGCCTTTGGCCCCCCCTGTGCTTGTGCAGAGATCCTGGAGCCTATGCAGGCTGGTCAGATGCAAAGAAGCATTGGTGCTGCCTGGACATCTGGGATGGGAAGTCCAGCCTCTGGTACTGTCTTGGGGTGCAGGGAGGGTTTGTGGGCTTTAGGATTTGGAGGTCTTTGTTGCAATTCTGGGTATTCATTGGGATTGAATCTAGAGTTGGAATTTTGGGAATTTTGTACTTATTCAGAAGACTTGAATTCGTAAGCTCACCAGAGCGCATGAACCTGAAGCATTGGGCATTGATCAGTGTACGCGCAGCTGTGCGTGACGCCAGCACCCAATCCGAAATTGCTTTCTCAACATTGGCGCTCTGTCTGCAAATTGAATTGATAAACGTCTTTTCATTTACTTGCAACTGACGCTTCAGCACTGCGTGAGAACCTCCAAGCAACCCACAAAAGCCATCGAGGTGGCCTCTAAAGGCATCAGCTTAATGCGCTTTGCCGCGTGCTTCAGTTTTCTGGATCCCCCCCTCGCAGGAGTTCAATCGAGCCTGCGACCCCTTCGACTGCGAGGCGGGCGTGAGGCTGTATTGTTCGAAGCTGGCCCCATGCATCAAAGTTGTGGGCCAGGATCCCACACAGCAACCGCATCCTTGCAATCAGTGGACAGCCCCAGAATCCAGCTCCTCTCACGGATACATCCTGACTTGGAATGGCGGATGATCCGCAGCAACGAAGCTGAAAAGTTGGAACATCAGATCCGGCGGCGGGCCGTGAGCCCGCACCTATCCAAAAAGGCAAATCTTATCAAAGCTGTCACTCATGCCTAGGTTGCCAACACTGTATTGGGCCTTCGTAGTGCTGACAGGAGGAGTCACATCGCTGGGAGCAAGCATGGCGCCCGCCTTAGATCCTCAAAGCTAGCTTGGCAGTCCTGTGGCCTCTGGTGCATGACAGACCAGCGTCTCATGCTGATGTCCCATTGTTGTAGAGGACTTTGTTTCTTGACTCACGAAGGTCTTCTGCCAAGAAGGCATGGTGCTGCGAGCATTCCACCGTGGGATGCGTGACCACCACCACGGCAGCGTACGACTGTGATGCAGGCCTGCGATATCCTGCGATGCTGAAGCGCTTAGGGCGTAGGCTATCAGGATGCTACTTGTGTTTGCTTCGGTTGTTGTAACACCTCGCAACACATTCTGGCACATACTATCGGATGCATGTATACTGAGTATATCATATGTATGTCCAGCCAACTGAGCTGTTATCTAACCGGCTCCAAGCAGTGCCGTTGCACCAGGATATTCCAGCTGGGAGCAGGCGTGGAGTGATGGTGACTTGGCATGGCATAATCGGGAGTCATGGCGGCTTTGGATGCGCACGCAGCTGTTCCTCATTATCGGAGTTTGTCAGTGCGGGTTGTCAAGAGATGTTCTTGAACCACCCTCTTCATATGGGTGGATCCGTCTACTTCAGTGTGTGCAGCAGGTGCAGCATTGAGTCGGCTATGCATCAATGCCTTTGATACCTGCTTGAAGCTGTAGCTATGGTCAATGACAAATGTGGACCCCAGCATTACTGTCATAGGCAAGCGCAACTGGTGCTGCGCTCACTTCAACCGCGCATGCGACCGTTACGACGCTTGAACAGCAGAGCAGCGCCATAACTGCCGCTACGGTTTTTCATCCATAACTGCGTAAGTGTTATTCTTGTCTGCTTTTTTCGTGTGTTCCGATGATTAGAGGTAGGCGGGTTCGGGCGGAGTATTCACAGCGTCCTTGGACATGACTGATGCGAATGGTTGGAGATTGAACTTGACGTTTGCATCACTCTAGTCCACGCTGCAAGGATTGTTCTGCAAATCTGAAGACCTGGAGGCAGGCTGCTTGGTGAGCGGTCACACAACCTTGTCTGACCCTTCCCTTGCACTCGAGCGATCAATATGCTGTATCTCTCAGATAACATAGCTGTCAGGACAAGCTTGCTCTTCCGAACCCCCGGATCCTTCCAGATCAGATCCCCAGAAAAGGTAGCCATGTGTCGTTTGCGCCACGTTGTGGCATAAGGAGCCATTTGGAATGAAGGTGTTCCTGACAGTGCTGGATAGATGGTTAAGACTTCAAGGAAATCCCTTCAGCAAATCCAAATATCTCTGCTCTCAAGACAAGACGCCCCTGTCTCTGTAGAAGCAATTTTTTGGAGGACTTCGTGGCCGGACGTCAAGCAGCAGTGGTGCTGCACTCACATGCATGCAGGCCATTGCAGAACGGCTTCCGCCTCTTAATCTGCGAATGTAACCACGTTCGAGCTGGTCGTTGGCGATGCTGCGTAGAACCCTAGATGCCTTTGCTATTCTTATCTAGTTTGATCGATTGCAGCCTTTATTACTTTGGCTTTCGGTAGAGTCTTGGTGACATGCTGTGTATGGCGGTGTTGCACTGACAAGCCTCTTGACAACACGGATCAGACGTGGAAGTTGGGAGCAAAACCATGAGAGAAATGGGTTAGAAATTAGACCTCGCACTGCAAGGTGTGGCCTGTCTTGGTAAGGTAGGTACTGGATGCCTCGCCCTTCTACACATTTCGGTGCCGCTACAGAGAGGAGAGAAGACGTGAAACAGCAGCAGGATGAGACAAGATCAGAAAAATCCCTGGCGAGGCTGCGAAGAGACCACAACATCCGAGCCGCAGCAAAGATGCATCATAAGGGAAGGTCTTTTGGGGGAGGGTCCCACACAGTTTTGCGGGCTGAAGAGCAATGTGAGTTAGGAATTGTAGATGGCGCCTGGTAGCCAAACCTTCATGCAGGGTTCTGCATCATCATCATCATCATTATCACCACCACCACCATCATCGTCATCATGCCGCGCAGCACGCGTGTTGTCCTGGGTGACTCGCAGGTATGACTGTGATGTGGCCTATGGCCACTGGGAGCTATCCTGGACCCCGTGATCTTGCCTTTGTGTTTGCTGATTGGGTGCGGGTGGGTCTAACTACGGGTTAGCCCTCTGAACCTGTATGTTTTAGCCCAGGTACAAAGCTTACTTGAGGCAGCTTGTGTGCCTATCAGGCTAGAGTTTTCTGAGTCCAGAATCGTAGCAGAGCGGGATCCCTCAGCACCAGAGAGCCACTCTCCAGGACGCCGCAGAAGAAGCACTTCTGCTGCAATCGCCACGGCAGGGCTTGTGATCCCTTCGATTGTGCCGAGGCTCGCCTATTGCCTATCTCTACTGCTGATACTCCCTGGAGACCCCCAGCTTCACAATTTCTTTGCATGTGCTCGCAACTGGTTTTCCTACAGCAACTTTCAACAGAATTTTTGGGAAGCTGAGCAGGAGAGGCGGAAATTTCGCAATGCTGAATATCATCAGGCAAGGATATGCCCTTGAGAAACCGGCTGGACAAGTCCAGTCTGTATGACGGCATCCAAGCTCGAAACAGCCCAACTCTCAACCATCCTGCTAGCCAACTTCATCCAGCCAGGAAACCTGGCTTGGCCTGCCACACAAGCCTCCCCCTCCCCCTAGTCTAAACTCCTCAATGGGGGCTTATATAGGGGATTGTATAGGGGACTATTATAGGGGTTATTACGCGGGATACTAGGCAAAGGTGAGCTTTCCTAGGGCTTCGCGCAAGACAGATGCATGCCAATGGTGTTTCCTGTCGCAGGGGCTGGATGACTGGCTGGCCGGCTGCATGTGGAATGGTTTTCGGAGCTTGGGGTCTAAGATCTGACTCTGAAGGAAGCAATCAATCCGCAAGAATTACTGAGATTCTCGAAGTCTTCAAAATTTCACCTATGGATGCAGGTATTGCGTGGTATTGCTTAGAGAGAACAAACAAAGCCATTTTGCAAGAGCATAAAGCCCCATCAGTCATCCAGATACGCGAGGCTGTGACATTGAAGAAATAGCTGGGGACAACTCAGAGACCATGTTGCTAGGGGAGTTCTGAGCGCCTGTTCAGTTGCCTAGGAGCAGCCTCCGTTTCACAAAACCGCAAGAGCAGGCTTCCTGGTTAGGCAGAGACGTTCAAGCATCTGTCGAGGGTTGGAAATGCAGAAGGCTTAAGGTAGCGGTCCCGGCTCTCAAGTTTGAAGCTGCTGAATGATTTTTTCTTGTGGCAGGATCCCAGCTTTCACTGCAGGGTTTTTGTCAGGTCTACTAGTGACTGAGAGCCAAGTGCATTTGCCAAGCAGCAATCACTTCTCCCAAGGCAGTTTGTCTGGACGACTGCGAAGCGAGCTTGGTGCTGCGACAAGATACAGGTTGGTCGCTTGCCAGCAAACGGACATGCTATGGCAGAGTGTACAGAGTCACCAGGATAATCTTCAGCAGGTGTCTCCGTGCGACTGTTCTACTTCAAGTCTTGATAGGTCCCGGTGTGCGTGGGTGCTGAAACCGATATGCATTCATCCCGCCCTCCCCATGCACGTAAACCAGTCTTCAGTTCAGACATTTCAGACCATGGATCTTCAGCACACCAGGCTGCATGTCCACCACGCTGCCACTCCCTCACGACTGCCAGAGAGGCAGGCTCAGCGAGGGAAGCACAACTACACGATCCTGACAATCTAGATGGCAAGACTGCTGCACTCAGACTGACAGCTGCCGTAATACAAATCATGAGCTGCTAGAGTCTGCTTCAGTGGTTGAAGGAGCACCACTAAAAAAATCAAGGGAATGCGCGCCTGCGCTATTCCATGTCGCGCTGAGAATGTGACGGATTTCAGCACTTCCCCGGTTGTCATGCGACAAATACGCGGCTCACAACATAGCTTCTCCGGGTGTCTGTTGAGTAGCGCTGCTGGCTGTGATGTGCACAGCCGCTCCAGCCCAGTGCGGCTGAAGCCGAATTGTACCTCTTGTGTGCATAGGTCCAAGGCTGTGGTAGTGCAGCTTCCGGTAGCCTGTCACACAGAAGATCTCGAGGCTAATAGCGAGCTCACATGACAAGTCATGCCCATGTGGAAGGACAATCACAACTTGTCAGGCAGCGTTGGCGAGTGGGCTGAAGAGAAGCGGGCGTGGCTCCTTGCCGCAACAAAAGCTTCGTTTCCTGTCACTCTGAAGGTTTTGTGGTTTGTGGCCCAGGCAGGTTCTTGTCAACAATTTGCTTAATAAGCAAACAGCAGTACACTTCTTGAGACCATGCAACAAATTCTGAGCACAAGTGCAGCTCGTTTTTCTATGACCTGATATAAATCACCTGACCCTACGCCCCAAGTCTTCGTATGCTTCTGTGAGGTGCTGCTCCCGCCAAAAAATTGGCTGTCTGGACCATGCCTTCGACTGTGAAGCTGGCCTAGCAGACTGGCACCAGGGTTGGTCCAAGGCAGGGGCGATAAAAACACCAAAAGATTTCACATCAGGAGCGGACGTAAGCAATCTATAGCACCAAACCGTTCTACTAGCTAGTATCAGGACATCAAAAGCCGGATTTTTGGCGAGGCACAAAGCATATTCTGCAGTTGTTGTTTGCAATGAAATCAGGAAGTGCTGTGTATAGTCAGTACATGTCAGTACTTTTCAAGGGACTGGGATGGCTGCAGGGTTTCTCTTATCATTGCTATGAGAACGAGCAGCACAACATAAAAGCAGCCAAGCCGCAACTTGAGTGAAATGTGCTGAGCTGTGCAGGCCAAAAAGACCTGGTGTTGCGCCCACTCCGATCATGGTTGCGAGTGAGGTTTGAGTCAGAAGGGCAAGTAGCTGAAGGACATGCCTCAGGACCCAAACGTTACACATGGGTGCTATCACGGTAAGGCCGCATAGCTCAATCATGGCCAGTTGCATCACGGGGAGAGAGGGGCTCTGTCATCACCTTCTGCAATTCAGGATTATTCCAAGAACTGCAGAAAATGATAGCGAACACACTTGAAGACGATGGCCACGCACTGACTCTCTCGGATGAGGGGATGCTGTAGGTACCTCTCAATCTCTTTCAGTAACTGGGTGCCAAGCCTTTAAAAGGAGAGTTGGGCTCAATGACTAGGTGAACTCAGTCCCCATGTAACCCCTTGGCACCTGGTCCAAACATCTCCAATCGCGGAGAATTCAGAGGAGAAACTGACTCCGGCCCAACCCTTACTTTTCTGATGTTGGATATTTCTGATGGTAACGCCCAAGTCCATGATCCAGATCCGACCAATCAAGTCCAGCCGCTGAGTCCAGTCGGAGCCAGTGTGCACATCTAGTATGCTGCAAGAGAGCTTGTAGACCGCGGAAAAGAGTGGAGATGTGGCCCATGGCTACAGCCGTCTCGTGTAAGACTGGGATTCGCACTGACTATTACACGGTTCCTTGTAAATCTTGTAGGGTCCTTAAAGAGAATCGCCCACGGGCATACCTTGAGGCAGCTACAGTAGTCCATGGCTCACGGAGCTCAGGCTTGAGGCTCAGACATTTTAGTCGAAGGTGCGGGGAATGATCTAGCCAATCAAAATGCAGGCACTTGGCGGCCCGCTGGCTACACACGTCCAGCCATAAAAGTCGCGAATTGTGTCCGTAAATTGCTGTAGTGTCAGAAAGAACTGTTTCTGTATACAGTTCTCATTACTATCGCCGCAGCAGCAGCATCAACAACAACAGCAACACCAACGACAACACCAACAACAATAGCAGTGATGATGCTCAAGATTGTGCTACCAGATACGATCGTAAACAGGATGCTTTGCCAGTGTTGCGAGTACGAGAATTTGCAGAAACAGATGTCGCCACATGTGCAGTTAAGGCTGTCAGCTATCGGTTGAGCTCTGAACGTGGTAAGGAGGCGACAAGAGTGTTCGACTTCCGCATGTTTGACATCGCTGGAAGCAGGAGGCCCCCTTGAGCCGGGGGCGGTTTGGAAGCAGGTCTTTGCAGTTTCAGGCAGGGCTGGGGTCATGTCTTAAATTCGCACACATGCATCCAAAAGGTGGAGCTGCCAGTCAAGCTTTCCAAGAATGGCCGCGCATGCTTTGCGTAAGTGCTTGAAGAACAGAGTCCATTCTATGAATCCACAGCAGGGCTTGCCTGAGTCTGCAGAACACGGCATTCTGGAAACTTGAGGTGACCAGCCCTAAGTCCCGAGTCCTGCTCAGTAAAGGCCTCTTGTGGCTCGCCCTCATTTGAGTTTTATTTGGTGAGATCTTTTTTCCTGAGTGGCTCTGGGGGGTGTGGACACTTAGCGGGACCCCATGTCTAGGCCGGCACAGCGTTTGGATCAGTCGGAACACGAACGCTTCAGAATATGATAACTGATAATTGTCAAAATGTCATCGGAGACATTGGCGCTCACAGAGAAGAGATGAGAAGAGTGTAGTCCACATGACAGCATCATAGGATTATTGCCATTCTCGCTGCGAGTACAGTACGGCATGTCCGCCACCACTTGCCTACACTTGCCTCATCATCAGTAGCAGTCTGCTTCTTGCATGCAGATTACCATACGGAAGCAGAAGCCAACAGGCTACAATGAAGTCCTCCAGACAAGGTCTCCATTCATCCAGGGTGCTGCAGTAGCGCAATGTGAAGAACAGACACTCACTTGCTTTCAACAGGTGGATCCTAGACATAGGGTACTCCCACACTCACATGCGCTGTAAAGCGCCTCGCTGTGGAGGCTTGAGCATTGACCTCGCGGCCAGAGGGAGAGACGTTTAGATGCAGAAATGGTGCGCCGGGTATAGGGCGTCAGCAGGTGGCGGGCTCAAAGCCCAGCCCATGTTTAGATAGAGATGCTTGGCATCCAGGGAGCTTTGCGTTAAGCGCACTGCGCCCCAAAGTTTCACTCCGCAGTAACAAGCCCGTTAAGGACTTATCCCTCACAAATCGCGTATCATTCCTTTGTTTTATCTTTTTGTGATGTTGTTTGTGCAGGTCAGACAGCTCCTAACTTGCACGGGTACTGTTCCGACGCCCCTTGCTCCACATGCCAAGAAGCCCAAAATTGTACTCGATGACCGTTGCTCTCTGGCTTTTCAATCCTGGCCCATCGATGTACAGCATTGAAAGCCCCAAAAGTTCAAGAGAGCTAAGATCTGGGGCAGTCGGCGCCTTTTGCGAACTATGTATGAAACCTCTAGACAGAAAGACATCTTGAAAGAGCTTCCCCTGCCCACATAATCACATATCAGAGTCTCAGATCACTGTGCTCAGATCGCGAACAGAGTTGCTTGATGTAGCTCCTGGCTCCAGCATTGTTTTGTTGAGGCTAGGATAGGTCATGGACATACATTGCAGTTGGAAGCTGTAGGTATTGGATCATGGTGTGTCCGTAACGGCGCTGGGTAACGGATCAGCGTATCAGATCAGTCTGTGGTTGTACTGGATCGGTGGCTTCCAGCGAACTGGATGCCGGACTCAGCCTGTAGCAGCTCAGCCCGTGACATCAGCCCTAAACCCTAGGCCCTAGACCCTAAATGGACATATTGGACGTATAGCCATTATATAGAAGGAGATTTCAGGCCCCAAGCTCTAAACTCTAAACTTTCCATGTGGGTGATTCTGGGGGGCTCCTCTTTCGGTATAAGCCGTATAAGCGAAAACCAGCATCCTTGACTCTAAACCTTGTGTTGCAGTTTAGGGTTTAAGGGTTTAGGGTTTAAGGGTTTAGGGTGAAAGGGTTTAGGGTTTCAGGGTTTAGGGTTGAAGGATTTAAGGGTTCAGGGTTTAAGGGTTTGAGGATTTAGGGTTTAACAGTTTAAGAGTTTAGGGTTTAAGGCTTTAAGGATTTAAGGGTTTAGGGTTAAAAGGTTTAGGGTTTAAGGGTTTAGGGTTTAAGGATTTAAGGGTTTTGTTTTTAAGGGTTCAGGGTTGAAGGATTTAAGGGTTTGGGTTAAAGGGTTTAAGGATTTAAGGATTTAAGGGTTTAGGGTTTAAGGGTTTAAGGGTTTAGGGTTTAACAGCCTAAGGGTTTAGGGTTTAACAGTTTAAGGGTTTTAGGGTTTTAGGGTTTTAGGGTTTTAGGGTTAAGGGTTAAGGGTTAAAGGGTTTAGGGTTAAAGGGTTTTGTTTTTAAGGGTTCAGGGTTGAAGGATTTAAGGGTTTGGGTTAAAGGGTTTAAGGATTTACGGGTTTAGGGTTTAAGGGTTTAAGGGTTTATGGTTTAACAGTTTAAGGGTGTAGGGTTTAACCGTTTAAGGGTTTAGGGCTTAAGGGTTTATGGTTAAAGGGTTTAGGGTTTAAGGGTTTAGGGTTAAAAGGTTTAGGGTTTAAGGGTTTAGGGTTTAACAACCTAAGGGTTTAGGGTTTAACCGTTTAAGGGTTAAGGGTTTAGGGTTAAAGGTTTAGGGTTACAGGGTTTTGTTTTTAAGGGTTCAGGGTTGAAGGATTTAAGGGTTTAGGGTTAAAGGGTTTAGGGTTTAAGGGTTTAGGGTTTAGGGTTTAGGGTTTGAAGGGTTTAACCTACGCCCCCAAGGTATTGACTCGGGTCTTGCCCTTTTAATCTCATGCTCACGCCATCTCTACTAGCATCAGAGA